GGTTGTTGGTAGGTTATTTACCAATATCCCGTCAATAAACTAGTGAAACCCCAAAAATATTCTAAGAATAACTTGAAAATAACCTGAAAATAACTTAGTTATACCACGGAGATAACCTAGGTTCTTTTCAGGTTATTTCTAGGTTATTTTTAGGTTAATGCTAGGTTCTTTTCAGGCTATTTCTATGGTATTTTCAGATTATTGACAAGTTATTTTCAGGTTATTTCTATGGTATTTTCAAGTTATTTCTATGGTATTTTCATATTATTGTCAAGGTATTTGTAGGTTATCGCTATGTTATTTTCAAATTATTTCTATGATATTTTTAGCTTATTGTTAGAGTATTTTCAGGTTATTTCTATGGTATTTTCAGATTATTGCCACTGCATTTTCAGCTTTATTTGCCACTGCATTTTCAGCTTTACCACTGCATTTTCAGCTTTATATATAAGTCCGCAAATACAAAATCATATGTAGTAATAGTTTAGTGCGACAGAACAGACAATCATACAGACATTAACCAAAGAATTTAATCATATTTATCATCCGAATAATTCATATAATTTATAAAATCAAATCAATCATATTTATCAACAGGTTACTATCAGCATTTCAAACATATTTACATCAAACATATTTACAAAAAAAATACAGTTATACAAATATCATCCAAACAATTTAAATCTACAAATTTCATATGCAAGCTCTGCCCTAAACTGAGGCATATCAGTCTGCCAGTTCTGTTTATCATTCCAATCAATTATGCCTTTTTTTATAATTGTTTCTATATATTTACAAACAAAAATACCGCAATCAACACTATTATTTTGTGTGGGAAGGCCTCTAATCGTGGTAACATCCCATGTAGTCGGGTCATTGAGGAAAGCTTCCCCGGCGTCCTTATGAAGATGTTTAATCTGGTAAATCTGGTAATAGAGATGTAGAGATGATAGTTTAAATCAATGAAAGCATAATCAAAAGAAAAAGGTTGCTTACATAATAAATGAACTAAGGCTTAGTTTGTTTACCATGTCGCGTGGAACTCCCAAATGTATTTTATTAGGCAATGAGTCAAAGAATCTTCATTTACGTTCCTTCTGATTTCCAACAAGTAGAGTACAATGATCATTATTAATTATTGGAACTAAAATGATATTTGCTTGAGCTACAGCATCCATTATTACGTGGGCAACAATGCCTCGCGATGGATGGTTTCTATACATCTTCATAGTTCCAATAAGTTTAAATGAGTTTATAAGTTTAAAAAAAGCATGAATCACTACCATTGATGAGATTTTCGATGCTTACACAGTGTGCTGGAGAGACATATAAAAAGGGTCTAAAAGAATCGGGTGATTGACACCTTCTATTTTTCAATCCAATGATAAACATATAAATATGTTCTGTGCCCAATTCTTGATTATTCCAAAGTGAATCAATGCACATTTGACTTATATGACTATGGCCCATAGCAATTATTATGTCATCTCTGCATTTTGATGAAATATTTTTTATTAGATTTAATACAGGACTGAGGCAATAGATAAAAAAAGGATTATGAGTTTACTTACCTAGCTTGTTATTTCTTCAAGCAATTATCTATGACCTTTTGCATGTGTGAGGGTATGAGTTCTCTGCCAGGAAACTCTATGGTTGAAGAGTCCACAACTAAATGTGCTGCATGAACTACACCAGGGAGGGCACCTTCAAATACAACAATTGTTCCCTGTTGTTCCTCCTATTTTTCTTCAGCCACTTCTATTGTACTGCTCTTCTCCTCCTGTTCCCCAGCTTCATCGATCTCAGGAGATGGTTGGGTAATCGACAATTCTTCTTCTGTCATTATTGGTAATGCTTTCGCTTTCTTTCTATTTACTACAATGAATGGGGAAACTACTGTCCTCTTTTTTTATGGTGCCTCTAGACTTAATCCTTCGGACTAAGCTACCAAGAGGGGGTTCATTGATGTCTTCCTTTCCATGTTTCTCATCACCTTTATTTATTCCTTCCCCTATTTCAATATCAGCTGCAGCTTCATCAAATGCAGTCATTCTCCATATCGGCTGTTCTTCCCCCGCTTCCTCCATATAAGCAGGAGGTTGTTCTTCCATTGTTGGGCTTTCTTTCTTCCCATCAATTTCAGAACCAACATGAGATTCCATGTAAACTTTATTTAATCTTTTCTTTATTTCTTTGATGTCGGTCTTCGCCTCCACCACGTATGCTCTATTTTATATAATCTATTATTTACAAAATCTTTGAATTGAAATAAAAAATTTATGTTGCTCCCTGAGAATTTGACAGATCTCTACTAAACCCATATTGATCCTTGAATATCTCTCGGAATGCATAGGTTGCGGAATGCTGCGACTAGGGACAAAAGGGATAGCAATGTTAGAATCTGGTGTCAGTGGTTCAGTGTGAGTTTCGGGTTCTGGAATGGACTTTGCAGGAGAGGAGATCCAGTCAACTCGAGGGGCAAGTAAACTATGCTCGTCATCTCTTAAATCGGCAAATGAATCAAGAACCTGCAAGTACATTTAGTAAAACAAATAACTAAATGATATAAATTGCCAAATATAACCCTGAACTTATAACATAAATTAATATTATTCACCTGTACAGTAGTCAGTCTCTGAAAGACTAAATGGATCCTTGTAGGGTTCCCTTGTAGGGTTCCAGCCTGCATTTATTGGTCACCTCAACATGCGAGGTCTGGCGTCAGAAACAATCGGAGCTATCACAACTGTGTGCTCATAAAATCACAGCTGCGCTCATAAAACCATAGCTACGGAAACAAAAATAAATCAGGAATTCATATTACCGAAATAAGAAAAAAAATTCTTGACTAAGGTTGGATAATAGACTAACCGTTAGAAGAAAAACAAATCCGTTCAGGTATCCCAATGGCTGACCTATCCTTATTTTGATGACGCATGCATTGACTTGCTCAATGAGGTGGTCACATACCGTTGCGACCCAATTAAATGAAGAAAAAGTATCTAAATTCTCAGCAAATAAATAGAGCCCTATGGGTACACTAAAATTGCTGGTATGAAAGAATAAATTAGACAATAAAAAATTAATAATAAGTTCATCAAGTGAAGTGGATGACTCTCTGAGTGACCCCTTCAGTAGTTCACTCTTTGCCTGTCTGACATCCACACCACTAACGGGTTTTTTGTGCCAAGTTGTTGTAGGTCCTATGTTGGGCATGCCAATTAAGAAAGCAACTTGGTCTGCATCAAAACTGAACTCCATCCCCCCATTCTGAATGTCAATCTATTCATATCCCAACAATTCAATATGTGCATAGTTAGGATGTGATCTTAAGGATAGGGGGAGTTCAAAAAACTGATTCAGCTTCAATTTTCCCAAAATTGACCATGTCTCCTGAGAGACAATTGGTCTCCTGAGAGACTCCTGAGAGACAATTGGTCGAACCTTGTCCAACACTTTTCTAACTGTTGATGGACGACAACTACAATTCATAGACTGTTTGTTCATCAACTTACAGGAATAAGATACATGTTATTAATACTGACAATAACTCATCAATCAGTCAAGAATAACAGAACAATAACCAACAACTGCATGAATATTCCCTAAATCAATAATAACCCAATATTAACTGATCAATAACGTAAGAATAACATGAGAATACACTTTTAACTAATCCTTGAATAACAAAAAAATAACCTAAAAATAACCCGAGAATAACCGTCGAATAAACTGCAAAAAATCGATGAATAACCTAAAAATAACCCACGAATAACCTAAAAATAACTAGCGAATAAACTGCGAAAAACTAACAAATAACCTAAAAATAACCTACGAATAACCTAAAAATAACCGGGCAATAAACCACGGAAAAACCGAGGAAGGAATAACATAAAAATAACCCACGAATAACCTAAAAATAACTGAGGAATAAACTACGGAAAAAGAGACGAATAACCTAAAAATAACCCACGAATAACTTAAAAATAACCCACGAATAACTAACCAAAAAAAAACCAGCGAATAACCTAAAAATAACCTTACAATAACCCGACAAATAACCTATAAATAACCCACGAATAACCTAAAAAATAACGCGCGAATGAGCAAATGGGTGCCAATAAATACTAAACTTCAGAGTAACACAAGAATAAACCAATAATAATCTAACAATAACCCAAGAATAAATTCCCTAACAAATCATGAATAACACAAAAATAAGCTGAAAATACCTCCCAAGACCTTCAACACTAAACCGTATACCCTCTAAGATAACTAAACGACAAAGCATAACTTATAATCCGAAAAAAATAACAGGATAAAAAATGACAATTACCAGGACAAGCTTTCCTCTTCAATGCCCTCATTCATCCTCTTCGTCTCCTTTCTCTGTTTCTTTGACTTCGTCGGTTGTTCAACGTCTGTCCTATTCATCTCTTATGATTGTGTTCTTGTCGACTCTTCGGCCTGCGTACTCTTCGGATCATCTAACTCCATCGTGTTACGACTTCGAAGATATCAAGCGAAGGAAATATGAAACCCTAGCAGAGCGAACGGCGAAAACCCTAGCAGAAAAATTTCTAAAATGTATTTTCGAAAAGTATTTCTCAGCACTCTAAATGGCGGGATACTCAAAAAGACGCGGGGACATCGGGCCGGGTCAGACTTCAGCGCGGCGTTATTTTTTTTTTTTTTTTTTGATTCCGCATTTCCATGTGACCGAATTTAAATGGACTGCGAACGTAGAGAACTGTCCGGTATCACGAGAGAAAAATTCGCCCCTTTTTTTGGGTGAGCAAGTGACATTTCCATTTCGGTGCGAAAATAAAAAAAAAAGTCCAATCATGAAAATTTCTCAGCGTGGCTACCCTTAACAGATGGTTAACTGCGCAGCGCTGGGCAGATATTATTGAGCAGAAATATAAAGGGAAAATACTTGAATGGGATTGGAAAAAAGACAGCTTTTTTAATTAAAATATGAAGTACAATTTTTTCTGATGCTGAAAAAAAAATTTAAATCTCACTCTTACAAGCTTTAATAATTTCAGAAAAGCGCACAAGCCTTCTCTTTCCAAATGCAAATTGTAAATTTAAAAAATGATCACAAGAAAAAAGAAAAAAAAAAAAAAAAAACACAAACAAGCTTTGATTCTGATAATGTGAGCTTAATTTGGTATGGATCCGGCACTTAATGATGCTCCTGGTTTGCAGCATTGACCCAAACCTTAATGTGCAGATTTCAAGAAGGACATCCAATATCTCTGTCAAAGGGCCAGCCAAACTCTTCTAGGAGAGCCAGCACCACACCATTCGACCAACCGAAGCCAGTCTGCACCACAGAAAACAATTACAAGTTTCCATCAAAACAAGTTGGTCAACAACAGAAAAACAGGAATACAACAATGCAGCTACAGGAATGCAGAGCTATGTGCTGAAATAGTGAAATGTTTTTTGGAGCTTCAAGGACAAGTGATTAGTTTGATCATTTCAAACAGAAGACGATCACCATTCATTCAAAAGAACTAGTCTAGAGGAATTTGTCAAAAGAAAAGCTGAAATTGCAGGAAAATAACTGAAATCTTGCCATATGTAAGAATATAAATAATTGCAAGAAGTTTAGCCTTTTAAAAAGTATAAGATTTAAACTCTCTTTACTGTAGTCAATCTTATCCAATCCTTTAAAGTCAACTTTATGAAGCCTTATTTTACATTTGCTGCATCTTAGAGAGTTGAATAAGGTGTTAAAACTTATTTTGCATAATTTGTTTTTTTTTTCTCTTTGTTCATGATCTATTCATGACATCTTTATTTATTTTTTCTAATGACTTGACATCAATTTTTTCAAGTCTATGGTGTGGCGAACATGTACTAGTAGAATATTACCTGAGGTGCATATTCACCGCCGGCTCCGACCATTCCGCAACCTTCTACATCATATTTCTCATGCATTGCACCAGTGGTGTTGTAAGCAGCAAAATTTGTTCTGATCCATCTTACAGCAATATCCTCAGCCAATATCCGTGCAGCTTTTGAACCAGAATTAGAAAAGCCTTCAATAATCATATGTTGCAAAGGAGACCAACCATTGGGAAAATCCCTGTTCAACAAAAGCTCAATGATTATATGTTACATGAGACGGTAGGGAACCCTGCATGACCAAGATAACTTACCACTGTTGCCCAGAGATTGACAATGAAGTAGAAATTCCAGCAGGTTTTAGCAGACCCGAGTCCTGGAAGCTTTCAAGAATACTTTCCACCATAGTTCTATCTTCACCTAAACCCAAAAAAAATTCTTTTTTGCATCAAGATCAAGTAAATTTTGTGTTCAAGTCAATTTCAATAACCAACCATCACAATCAAAGTGCTTCAAAAGAGGATTTTTTTTAATCAAGTATTAACTTTATAAAGGGTTCAATTTTTTGGCACATGAAACAATCTTTCAAATGAAATTAAGGATGGACGTGCATGCTTAACTATGCTACGCAACTCTAAAGGATTGCTCCATTAGATGTTATTGAAGATTAATTCAAGCAGTAATGTCCAAGGGACGTGGTGCATTAGAATTCCATGCTCAGAAGGTAATATCACATATATAGAAATTGCTTCCCTGGTTGTGCATTTTTTTCCAAGGGTGTGGTGTTATAATAAGTAAACTCAAAAACAGTTCAAAAGCACTAAAAATTTGAGTCAAGTTAAAAAATCAATGCAATTCATTTTTTAGTTGATGTTGAGCTCAAACTTCAATTCATAATTGAGTCTACTAAAAACTAATTTCATATATAAATAAATATATATATATATATATATATGGTTGAAAAGTTGGATCAAAATTTTTATTGGGATTGAATGTTCCAAAAATTTTTTAGTCAAAAATTTTTCCTTTTTTTTATTCCGGGTAGGGTGAGCACTCGAACCAGGCAGCTTGGGATTCTTTAATTTGTCTCCAACCAATGCGCTATGTATTCAAGCACAATTTGAGTCAAGTGGGCACAACACATTTTTTAGATTTTGAATGGAGTCATTCAAGCTCAAAATTGACTCTATAATCTTGCACATGAATCTTGAACATTGGCTTGGGACAATGCACACTTCCAAATGATTACGCGAGGAAAATAACTTCCTCCATATCACAATTTTTGCTGTGCTGAAAAATTACTATGTATAATCTCAATAAATGTTTGCTATTTAACCTTGCAGAATGGACTAATGCAGGATCATTTTTATGAAGCAAAATATAGGAGAAAACATGTGTGTGTGTGTGTGTGTGTGTGTGTGTGTGTTTTATTAAACAATATCACACCCACATAGAGAGGACATGGAATGCCAAACCTGAAGTATGCCTCCAATTCCACACCGGTATGAAGTTTGATGCAAATATTCTATCATTTTGATTCCCAGCTTCAAATTGATGAACATCCTGATCATTTCATAACAAACATTTAGATATTACCTTAAAAGCAAAATACCTAAATCTGAAAATTTAGGTTCCATAGAGCACCTCACAATCTCCAGGTCTAAGCCAGTAGTCAAGCCACTGGTTCATCTCTGCATTCCACAAGATTGATCTCATCGCCAACTGCCTAGCTCTTGAAGCCTGGAGGAATTTTTCAGCGATTTCGAAGTCCCCAAGTTTTTGCGCAAAAAAGGTTATGTCAAGCTCTACCTGTTGCAGAGAGTTGGAGTACATAATCAAATACTTTGATTTGAGGTTGTTCATAAAAAGTTGATGCAAACTTTCTTCCAGGAATTTTAGCCAAACTTCTGACAGCAGATTATATCCTTTTTACAGAATGTTTTGCAATCAGGATGTTTCTTATTGCAAATCAAGTGGTTCATCACTTTATGCAAGCAATATTTCAGATATAATTTGCAGTCAAATATATGAAGAGTTTTCTGGACAATACCTTATACAAGTAGGTGTTCAAGTCAACAGGGATGATCGATGTTGTTGATACTGTGCTCTTGTCAAGCGGGTCGCTGTAACAAAGTGATGGAGACCAAACTGAATGAGAAGGATGATTTTAATTTCTGAAATATTGAGAGTATTCTTGAAAATTAAGACCTTTTATTCTAATGGAGACCAAACTGAATGAGAAGGATGATTTTAATTTCATAAATACTGCTTTTTAGCAGCATACAATAATATAAATGCTAGAGTTGGCTTCAAACGCCATATTAATGTTTGTAATGAAATAGAGGCAATTTAAATAAAATATGTAGAAACTTCTAGATTTTAAGCTATTATTTATGCAAATAGTAACATGAATAATAGTTGACTCACACACTGAATGATATGTGTGTAACATTCTAAGTGTAATGAAATAAAAGACAATGATACAATTTTCTAGAGTGATAACTATTAAGATGGTACGAGAAAAAAAAATTAGAGGTTATGAAGTGAAACCTCAACCAACGGGAGCTGAAGTCCCATCCAGTCTCTGCGGCTGAAGCAACTTCTCGGTAGAATACTTCCTTATCAGAATCATTTAGAAATATGGATGCAGATTCCACATCCTGTATATAAAAATATCAATTTCATAAGCATTTTGGAACAAGTGTAGATATGATGATGTAGTCAGTGATGATTAGCAGAGTGGAGAATCGTAACATACAATCGTTGCGCTTTCAGGTCTAGGTTTATTCCACCTAGCATAATAGCGGCTCAAAGAATGTTCATGTCCATGATGATCTCGAATAGCCACTTTATGAGATCCTAAAAAAATCAAATTTATGCACAGTAAGATTAGAATGGTAATATATGTTTGGATATTAGAAAATAAAAAATTGGGAATTCTTTGTAATATCACAGATTTTAAAGATGCACGGATTCAAACATATCCAGTTCCTTTTGATTAATTGCTTCACTAATTATAGAACAAAATTTTGTGAGAATGGAATTAGAGGCACCAAAGGATTTCTCAAAAAACAAAAGGCAATCCATCATCAGAGGTTATGGAAGAAACTATAGTAATAAAAATTTAATGTAGTACCTGAAATCCAGAAGCTGTGCTCTTTAATTAGTGAAGGAAGGGACTTCCTGACAAATTCCAAATCACCAGTCCTACTATATATCTCCCTTACCATTGAACTCAATAGTGGAGGTTGGCTGCAAAAGATAATGGTACATAAACTTCAATTATGCTTTGTTATTACTTATAAATGTGGATTCAAATTAAAAACAACAGCTGTTTTATTCAACAATAAACCACTGAATAATATATGTCAATTATTTTATTTAGTGGCTAATTATATGAAACAAGAACAAAATGATAATAATTTAGATTTAAATTTAAATTTAGTACTCCACCTGCGATTAGCATAGTATGTCCTTGCACCATTTAGCACATGACCATATATATCTACCAGCCATAAAAGATTGTTCGCAACAGCCTTTGCTGTGTCATACATTTTGCTTGTCAGCAATCCCCTGTTTTTAATCAAAAGAGCAGTCAGATATTCTGTAAATCCCGAAGGCATGTTTAGACTTTATTTCTAAGGACCAAAAAAAAAAAAAAAAAAAAAAAAAAAAAAAAAAAGATGTGAGGAACCAAACCTAATAATCCAGTAAGAATCCCAATAATACACCTCCTTGAACCTCGACCCGGGAATGATCACCGGCTCCGGCAAGGGAAGCAGAGTGTGCCGATCCGGGTATTTCTTTACATTCTCGGAAACTCGCCTACTCAGATTCTTCCATAGCGAATGCACTTCGAGAGCCCAAACCCTAGCTTTAGGATTCAACACTTTGGGCAAAAACCCCTCCGGTTCCGACACGAAATCCTTAGGCTCCGTGTACACCAAATCGTCGCCGGCATCCCCAAAATACGCTTTCAAAAACTCATTCAAGTCTTTTGTCGGGATGATTCCGTTAATCCTAGGGAGTCTCGAGAAGGCGACTTCCGTCAAGCCGAAGTCTTTTTTGAGAGGGAGATCCACGTAGGGCTTTGGGTCAAAGGATTTGGGGCCTAGGGTTTTTAGGGCTTCAGATTGTAGGAGTTGGAGGAAGGAGAGGAGAGGGGTTGTAGGAAACGTTGGACCGCCGTCGGTGCAGTGGGAGGCGGAGGAAATTGACATGACGAGAAGAGACGAGAAGAGAAATGTGCAGAAATGAATAGACTGAAAAGACATTTTAAGAAGTAGAGGCTTTTTAACGGTCATACTTACTCTGTACAGTTTGGTAATCGGATTTTTGGTGTTGTATATATACAGGTGCTGCGGCCCTGGCGGGAAAGATGGATTTGGTCAGCCGGCAGCTAAATTAACTTCTAGTTAAATAAAAATTGGTATTTTAATTTATATATAAGGTGCTAAGAATATAATTAAAGGGAATAAAATTAATTTAAAATGATTTCTGTTTTTTGGGGGTATAAAGGACTTGATCAAGTCTCTTTGAGCTGAAAATTGTGAGCCTGAGGGAGAGAATTTGAGGAGAATTCTTAAAGAAATTTAACGGGGCATTTTTTTAATAGGATTTTGGTCAGGATTTGATGTAGATCCTGGCAAGCATGGAAAAAAGAAAAGTGCTCTGTTAAATCTAATTTTCTTCGTCATTTTGACGTAAACTTGATTTTATTAAATCTGATCAAATGGTGGATGGCTTAGGAAGAAAACGCACTATAAACTATTTCACTATTTCGCTGGTGACTTCAAAAGTGATTGCCTCAATGTCTCACTAGGAGAAGAAAAAAAAAAGGTACGAAGGAGAAGGCAATGGAATGAAACCAATCTATACTAGGGCTCTACATGGGAAGTTTTCAATTGATAAGAAAGGCATTGGAAACGAGGTTAATGTGGGTACGAAATGGAGCATTGAGGAAGTAGATGATTATGCATTGGGTTAAGGACTTCCTTAAAAAAAGTGGGCAAAAAGTTATTTACTACCAAGTGGCAATATAAGATGATTGAGGTGCAGAAGGGGAGGAAAGTTGCAATAGATTTTAGGTTCTTAAACCATTTGATTTTTATTCAGTATAGAATTTTTTAAAACTATTTTAGATTTCAAAAACAAAATGAAAAATTACTTAATCAAATTTAAGTGGATTTAATCTTAACTAAACCAGATGTTATTTTGGATTTGAGAGTATCAGAATTTGATAAATTTGAATTTCTCAGGTTCCCTAAATCCTTTTTAAATTAAATCATCTTTGCATCCTAACACCAATTAATGTGAGATTTTGATGAACCAATGAGATTATATATATATATATA